GAAATATTTATAAAGAATAACATGATAACTATTTCAATTCATTTATCTGATCTCCTTTTACTTCTTTATCTAGTCTGTGCCAGTAAATGGGAATTTTAAAAACTACATTATTTAATGCACATATTATTAGTACTTGTCTTCATCCAAAGATGAAAAATTTAAAAACTAACCTATCATTAATCTTTACTCAATGAATAATAATTTCTGAATTTATAGTTACATAGTCTTTAATAAAAGATGAAAATAAATGCAGAACTGATTCGCAGGATGAAAATCACATAATTTTCATATGAATAAAAAAGTACGAGTTGTTATATAAGACCTGTACGATAAATTTTAATTTATAATAATAATTTTTAATGCATTGATTCTATCAATCATTATCAAATACGTATTTGGCTATATTTAATTTAAAAAAAATAATATCTTTAAGCTTAACAACCTTTTAATAATTGAAATATACATATATATAAATATCTTTATTAATTGAATCACTTACTAACTTATACATGGTTAATAACAAAACAACAAGATAAATAATAAATAACATAAATTAATTGAAAAGAATCATCAAGATCAATGAGTGTAAAATATACTCATGAATGATATGAATACTATAAAAACCAAACACTAATTAGAAACAAAGCATGTACATATATTCTATGTTTAATATGTTGTAAAACTTAATCAAATGACCTTATATTCAAAAAAGAAAAAACCAACTGTATTATTGTTTAAACCATTATTTTTCAAGTTTAAAAAAGAAAAACTTAAAACCTATTAATTAAGGTGTGACTTACCTTACTGATTACTAAATTACCTTGGTAAAAAGTGTACCCAGTCACTAACTTCTGGATTAATTGACCTTTACTCAGATTAATTTGATATGTTATAATGTAAAGTGTAGTTTCAGAATATATATGCTACAACCTTTAACAATACAACAATTCATTTAAGTTAGCTGTTTTATCCAGTATATATATAATTATTATATATACTTAGAAAATAGATAGATTACATATAAAGTAAATAAATGCCATATTTATTACTAATAATTTGAATCCATTAAAAACCCTAATCTTTTACTCAATAAATGTTTCAGCTCTATCGCTTTGCTGACAGGTTTAAAAAAGTATATTTTATCCAAAAATATAGTCCAAATGATTGACAATTAATCTCATATATAAAGCTGTAAATACCTGGTTTGACAAAATTTATAATTTCAAAATTATTGACCAGAAGTGTGGGAAGTGAAATGAAAACCTTTCAAGCCTTACTCTATGAAACTCTTAAAATCAATCTTTATTTGGATTCAATATTTGGAAATTGAACCAAAATTAGGTTCAACATTTAATAAAAAATTTTAATAACAAATAATTTATCAGTAGAAAATAAGAATTACCCTGTATTATAAATATGTTATTATACATAAGCAAACATTAAAATAGAATAAAAGTGATTCTGATTCAAATGAACAATTATGAGAATCCAACACTTTCTATATCAAACCATAATCAAGTAGTATTGTGAGGCCTGATAATATGACATAAAGACTCTGCCAGGACTTACGTGAGAGTAGGTACGATGATCAAATCCTTGATATAGATATCCTGGCAATTAATTGCATTAATGTGATTAATTAAATAAATCAAGGAAGTGAGATTAATTAGATAAGAGGAATTTATTAAGTAAATGTGTCTAAGTGAATAAATTAGAGGAATCAAATTAAATAATTTAAAGAGATAAATGTAATTAATGAAGTTATAAATAAAAAGGTATTATAAATAAAGGCCGAAATGGTTCTAAGAGATGACATGTCCAGTTTGCTTTATTAATAAACAAGTCCCAATACATTATATCGTTCTATAAAACCCTAACACTAATACCATTATCAACATTGTAAACTTCTATAAACATTGCTGTTTAACCCTTGACCATGTGACCTATCCTACTTGCATTTGTTGACCCAAAGTAACTGAAAGCCTTAACTGCCCACAAGCCAAATCTAACACCCTCTTTTGAAAAGATTGTATATCATATGTTACATGAGGTTTTGAATTGTAGAGTGACAGAGTCGCAAACTTCTGAACCCAACAGTATAAATTTGATTCATAAATAGAAAATTATAAACTTTCATGCAGTTTCTTTTGACAGATTACAAAACTTAGAATAAAATGCAAAGAATAATTAGAAATAAAGATTCCTTTATGAATTTATTATAAAAGTGCAAGACCTAATAATTAGGATTCCAAACACAAAATGTTGTCTTTTTTTTATTCATTTTTGACATGATATTATAGGAGTGATGTTAGAAGAATCAATCCATAATGTGATTATTGATGTCTTAGAATAAAATATAGTATAGGCGACACTCATTTTAAAGTTATTTATTTATTTATTAAGGGGTCACCTATACTATATTTTATTCTTACATTTAAATCTTAGATATAATTAATAGTAATAAAGAATAAGTATTTGTTTCTAAGTTCCAGTGGATGTTGAATGTTGACTATGTTAAATAGCAAGTATAAATGTTCTTTAATAACTTTTACTATGAACTTTTATGAGTAAAATATTACATTTACAAAAATAGCATTAAATATTTACAGCTTTTATATTTGCTACTTTATTAGTCAGTTTACAAGGTTTCAATTATCATGATATTTTAACCAACAATTTCATTCATATGATTCTTTTAAACAAAACTTTAACTCATTTTTAGTGATCCAAAAGCTTAAAATAGATAATTTGTAAACATCAGAGATACTTCATTTCAGAAATTATTTCTCTTACTTATTCAAACCACTACATAAAGATGTATCTCATTGGTTGAAAATCCTTCATCTTGCCCATTTCTAGTGAAATCGAATAGCATGTACTTACTATTTAAAAATTTTTTTACTGAAATCATTTTCATCAGGCTCTTAGTTAAATTTGATAAGGTGAATCAATTTATAAGTTTTTATTGTAAAAGCTCTATGTTTTACCTATATATTTATTTATATGTTGCTAAATAAGAAACAAAACTTAGAATCTAATATCATCATTAAAAAAAATTTCATCCATTGAATGTTTATACTAATGTTCTGATCAGAACAAAGTATGCAATCGATTATTCAATTAAGAAATCAATTAAAACTAATCAGCTAAACTTAGTTAATCAATTAACTGAAATCTTATTTGTCTTATTTTTATAGAAAAACCTTCATAAGAATTGTATATATAAAATAGTAGTAACATTTGAGAATTCATTTACCAATTATACGAAGCCAACTATTTGCCAAATTTTATGATCATTGTGAACTTATATAATCAATGCAACAATTATTAGTGCATTTTAATAAGTTGTAAATAACTTTTACCATTACTCCTAGTATATTTTTATACTTATGTAGATTAATAAAAATACACTAGAGAATCAGAATCTGATATAAGTTGGAAGTGTAAAATAAACATGCCATTCAATGCTCTTGATATACTTTGTAGCATGAAAAGCAATTTTTAGCAAACTAAATTTGTACAATTTTTTTTAAGACTATGAGCATGCATGTAACATAGGATTATGCATTGTTATCATTATACTTATTGAACTTAGGTGCTGTAATCAAGTCACATGCTCACATGACTAAATCAGTTACAAGTAGAGCCTCTTATTTGTATTTGTTATTCAAATAATAGTCATATTCGGTGAATATTTGAATAATAGTTTAAAAAGTTTCAAATAATTATTCAGCAAATAATACGAATAAACAAATCTTATTCAATTAAGTTACACTTATTCGAATAGGTGTAACTTATTTGAATATGTATAACTTATTTGAATAAGTGTAATTTATTCGAATAGGTGTGACTTATTCGAATAGGTATAACAAATAAGATCGAATAAGTAAATAAATAAAAATGATGCAATAACCATTGCAGCGAATTTATGAAATATCCCAAAAATTAAAAAATTTGACTACTAATATGTAATATAGATTTTGGCAACACTTCCAAGTTGTGATGCATCATTTTAATAAATTTCTATGTCTAATAAGATGCGTTAGGAGTTGGGAAGCCTGTGGGAAAGATGGGTTAGACACGTTATTAGTCTACAAAAATTTTTTCGTGGTTTATATTTATAGTTTAATATGTTAATTTGGTAACTGGAATTTAAATATGAGGAACAAATGCTTGGTTTTGGTGACTAAATTTTAGCTAAATTTCATAAATTCACTATGATGCCAAATGTTGGATTAGTTAAAAATACTGTGACAATATGTACTTCTGTACTGTACTTATCAGAAATGTATGCATAAAGTTTACATACAAAAATCATATGATATGTACAAGATTCTTGAGTGCCCTTTATAATATAAGTTTTTAGCATGAGCATAAAATGACTATTTTAGTATTTGCTTCTTCATAAATAATATATGTATGAACCTAGGAATAAAACTAGTTTATTTTAACTTCAAAAATTTTGCTTATAAGTAGACATATAGTCCAACTTCGCTTTACTGCTGAACAGATAATAACAATATTTTAAAATTTCAATTCTAATTAAAGTAATTTGTTATTACTTTATATATAGTATTTATATATTTAAAGCATATCGCATATCATAGTTTTAAATAAAAGGAATTTTTATTTTTAAATTCCTTGTAAAATCTACATGAGAAAGAGATGTTTCAATAAGTAACATGTTTGTTTAATATAATGACAAGTAATTTAGCATATGTATCCAAGATGATTAAATCGTATATTTCTTAAAAAAAAAAAAAAAAAGTAAAACACATGTATCCAAGACGATTAAATCGTATGTTTCTCAAAAAAAAAAAAAAAAAGTCAAACACATGTATCCAAGATGATTAAATCATATGTTTCTCAAAAAAAAAAAAAAAAGTCAAGCTGAAAAGTCGAACTGCATTACCTTGTTTTATAATGATATAATAATAAAGGCAGGGTTTTCTTTTTTTTGAATAAAAATACTGGTCTTAAAAAATCTTGTGCTTAGAAAAATGTCTTGTATAAACAGTAAAGATAAATGCAAAGTTAGTAATATTCGAAAATGTGCACATGCAGAAAACAATAGTACTACTACTAGTGAACAAAAAAAAACCCAACTTAATGCTAAAAGTTCAAATAATCCGAGTTACCTATGGCATTATTTTACAGTTTTAGAAGATAAGGTTCATGCTCAATGCCAAATATGTGATAGAAAAGGAAAAAGTGTAAAGTATGTATTTCATGGCACTACAAGAAATATGATATATCATTTAGAAAATGAACATGGAATCTTGAAAAAAAATCCTACAGGCAATGTAAGTTTTTTTTTTTTTAATACTGTATAATTAATTAAGAAAATTATTAATAGTAAATAAATTTAGGTAGAAGATGGAAATATTGAAGATTTTTTTGAAGTTGCTCATGGGAAAGCTGCCTGCAAAAAACAACCAATTATTGAAATCACCATGTAAACTTAGATGATTGATGACTGTCAACCACTTTATCTTTTGCAGTCCCAGTCTTTTAAATTATTTATGGAAGTAGCATTGCCTGAATTCAAAGTTCCAAGTAATGATAAAGCATGACATATAATTATTAATGCATATACCTAATCGACTAGGCAACTTACAGAATTATTACAAGATACTTATTTTGTCAGTATTACCACAGATCTGTGGTTTTCATGTAATGATAAACCATATATTGAAGTTACAGCTAGATGGATAGATTCTAAAGATTGGTCATTAAAAGAAGCATTACTAGCTTGCGAAAAAATTAATGAAAAACATACAGATGAAAATATTAAAAATGACTTAGAGAAAGTAATTGAACGGTTTCAACTTAAGTGAAAATTAATTGCAGCTACTACAGATAATGGCACGAATGTTGTAAAAGCTATCCGATTAATAAAAACTTTACATGTGCCCTGTGCTACTCACACACTTCATTTAAGTGTAACTAAAGGTCTCAATGCTACTGGTGCATTTAAGAAACATGTTACAAATCTTATTTTATTTTTTAATGGTAGTTCTAAGAATACAGAAAATCTTAGAGATGCACAATGCAAGTTAAACTACCAAAAGGTGTATGAAGTTCTTTTGGATGTTCAGACCTGTTGGAACTCGATGTATATTGCATGGAAACGTTTACATGAACTAAAAAATGCTATACTCTACCTTATTACTATTTTAAAATTTTCTTCAGAGAAGGATAATAAAGATGATACTAGCTATTTGGAACAAATTAATTTAACAGAATTGAAATAGAGGTAATTTTATTATTTTATTAATTTTTATGTTTTTATGTTTTATTAATCAAACTATTTTATTTTTATAGTTTACTTTCAGATATGTTAACTGTATTAGCACCTTTTTATGAAGCAACAAAAATGCTATCAGGGGTTTCATATGCTATGTTTAATATAGTTTGCTATACTATGCATCATCTTAAAAAAATCATAGTTCCACCAAATAATAAAGATAAAGACTATTATGTAGAATTGTTGTATGGAGAATTAGATATGACTGCAAGTCAAAGTTCGTCAATTAATATGCATTTAGATAATAAAATTATTGATTTGGCAGCTTGTGCTAATCAAGCTCTTAATATATCACATGGTTGTGTTCAAAAACATAAAAATATATCTGTTAATAGTCAGCAAAATTCTGATCCATGGTTTAAGAAATGTCGAGCTATTGAACCACCAGTCACTATTATAAACATGTTAGAACAGGTTAAAGCTACAATTTATCTAAGCATTTGGATGTTCTAAAGGAAATTACTTTACTTTCGGCATTGTGGACCCCTGATACAAGAAGCTTAAGTTTGTTACAGAAATTCGACGTAATATAACAATTGATAAGCTAAATGAGCTATATCGAATTGAACAGGCTATTATTATAGAAGAGTCGAATGATAGCTTATATAACAATTTATCTAAGTTATCATTTACAAATAAACTATCAAATGTTAATCAAGTTAACTATTCTTTACTCAGGCTATCTGATGATTCAAATAAAGAAGAAAGTAATATGTCAAATGAAGTTATTTGTTACTTAGCTTTACCTAAAGAAGCTCAGAAATGTAATATACTAGAATGGTAAAAGGAACGAGTTAATATCTTACCAGTTTTGTCTAGATTAGCAATGAAATACTTATCAATTCCTGCTACTTCTGTACTAAGTGAAAGGTTATTTTCTGATGCTGGTCTTCATTTATCTGCCTGTTGTTCTTGCTTAAAGCCAGAGTTGTTGACATCTATGTTGTTTTTGAAAAGAAACATGAAATTATTTGATGTTTTTAAATTAGAAGATAAATAAGATTAGGAATTTTCATGCTATTATTTCCCTCCGAGAATCATTTTTAGTTGACAGACTTTCAATCTAGTTTGGGATTTTTGTTTGTTACTAATTTAGAAAAGTATCTTTTTGTGAATGATTGTTATATTACTGATGCTCAGAAAAGTATAGAAGATAAACAAATATAGGTTAATTTGTGGAAAAATTGGTTGGATATAAAAAAGTTCTTGCAATAAAAAAATATTCATCAGCTTGGAATTAATATAGTTTACTCAGTTTTTTTAGTAAAAAAAAATTTATTGCATATTGTGTCTTAAATTTTTTTAAATAAAAAATCTTGAGTTTGTTTGATCTCTCATTTATAAGTATGTTATTGAGCACCCTACACAGTCTTTTTGAGTATTCAAAAATTTTTTTTTTTTGACTATGTATTACTTTGTTGTTATTTCAACAAGCTTCCTACCTATGCATGTGACTGTCATCCCAACAGGCCACAATTTATGACTGCCATCTCAGTAGGCCAGTCGAAAACATACATTGTACATCTTGAAGTGGGGAGAGTAACCAGAATGAAAGTAAAATATTTTTATCGATTTCTCATGCTTACTAAAATATTATTACCTTGTATTTACTCAATTACCTTATAATTATTATATACTTATTAAACATTAGACTCACATATCGAGCAACTATTATATTTTGTTATAAAATATCCAAATTTTAGTGCACAACAGCAATATATATACCCAGTATAACAAGATAAATGATTTTTAATTTTTCATGATTTAAAAAAATATTTAATATCACATAATCATTTTAAAAATTGATCTAAATTATTTGACATGCATGGTACTGTATACAATGCTCTATCATTATTTGCAATTTTTAAAACTATTGCTACTACATCTACTAATTTTACAATTCCAAATATAAATACTGCTATTACTATATATGAAGATGCTAGAATTACTACTGTCATATTTGAAAAATGGGATTTAACTATTAAACTAGTTAATTTATCATTCTTTTCAATTTAGTTGAATCAATGATCTGCATAATTTTTTTTGAGTCCGTAAATATAAGATAGGTAGCTACTTTATATTCATTGTATTTTTTTATCAATAAAAGGGAAGTATATGAATTTAAAATAAGTTCCACAAAATATAACAAAGTTAACAGGAATCAAAAAAAAAACTATGCAGATCATCAGTTCAACTAAATCAAAAAGAGAGATAATTAAAGTTTTATTCTTATTTATAACTTTGTCTTGTGTTGAATTAATAAATTGGTAAAAATTTCTATTTAATGATATAATGCTAAAATAAAATATTAACTAATCATTATTTAACTTAACAAATTAAATTCATACATGTGATCTCATATATACAAAAAATTATAACGTGCCTATTGCTATCACTATAAACTACCCCAGTATCGCCAACAAAATTTTTACCAGCACGTGATGATATCCAGAAATAAGCCAAGAACGAATCTCAATTCAGCAATTTGGTGTAATGTTACACGATCAGAAAAACTCAAAACAAATGTTCGTTTTGTCAAAATTTGCTTATAACACTAAATCTATATAGGAAATAACCTTCTGCGCATTAATAAAAAGTTTTCCTTGAGCGATTTTACTATTAAAACTCCTCTAACCCTAACACTAGCTTAGGTCCTAACCCTAATATAAATGAATTTAAAGAATTTTGTATGTCATATGCTGGTAAAATTTTTGTTGGTGATATTGGAGAAGATTATCTCTATATTGATATATAAATCAAAAATCTGAAATTTAAACTTCAAACTCAAAACCTGAATAAGTATTTGTAATTCGAATAACTATAATTATTCAAATAACTATAATTATTCAAATAACTATAATTATTCAAATAATTATAATTATTCAAATAATTATAGTTATTTGAATATGATTAGTCATTTGGTGAATATTCAAATAGATATTTGCTGATTCAAATTATTCATATATTATTCAAATAAGGAATCTGTAAGCTCTAGTCATAAGTAGTGATGTGAAAATTCCAATTTTATATATTATGTCAAAAGTTAAAACTATATTTGAAATTAAAATATAATTAAATAATTATTTTTGTACAGCTTAAATAGAAAGAGCATATAATATATTTTGATACCGAATATCATGTCTGATCATGTAAAAACACATGAAATGTAATAAGTTACATTTGTGACCAGAAATGGTATTTCAGATCCAGAAGGGAGGATGAGAGGAGAAATTACATATCCTTAAAGATATTACATAGATCAGTGTAAATAACATTTAGTAGCCTTAAAGTAAAAATAAGTGCAAAGTCATATTTGTAAGTGACGAATTTATAATTATAAATAAAGGCTGAAATGGCCCTTAAGAGAAACATCTCTTGTTTGCTTGATCAATAAACAAGTCCAAATACATTGTATTGTCCATAATAAACACTAACACTATTACCAGTACAAACCCTGTAAACTCCTATAAACATCATCGTTTGTTCAAGTTCTTGTTCACGTGACTTACCCTGCTTGTATTCGTTGACCCAAAGTAACCGAAAGCCTTAATCACCCACCAGCCAAATCTAACACCCTCTTTCGAAAAGGT